CCTGTGCTTCGAGGGTTTTTCTCCAGGTTTTTCTCCAGGTTTTTCTCCCTCTTCAAAAAACTTCTAAATTCCAAGTGGTTCTTGATATGATAAACCTGTTATACCAGTCTCCTTTTTCACTATGCTGGGAATAACTTCATTATTTTTTTAAGACCAGGCACCATATAATGAATATATTTCATGTTATTTAACTAAATGCATTCTGTCCCAGAACCCACCAGGCAAAGTAAGACTTTCAGTTGACCATGAAGTTCGTCTGGAGAAACTAGAGAATCAGCTGGCCAATTTGTTATATGAGGTAAGCTACTGCACGCCTCTTAGTAGGCATACTCACCGGCAGCCATGTAAGAGGAGAATGATTGATCTCTTTTCTTTCTCTTTGTATCAGACAGCAACAGTAGATTCAAAAGGACCTGCCAAGACTGCAAGTAAGGAATACAATTTTGAACATCTTTATACCGTTCAGACTGGGGTTGGGTTATGAAAGTGTCATCCTCCCTTCCTCCCTTCCTCCCTTCCTCCCTTCCTCCCTTCCTCCCTGCCTCCCTTCCTCCCTCTCATAATGTTAATTTTCTAATTCACTTAGTGGAGGTTTTCAAAGTTGAATATAAAAAGTTTGCTTAGGGCACTTTCCATTAAGTGGAACCAGCCAGTCCAAGCGGCAACGTTTTTTTAACGAGGGTGACATACATTACTGGTGGCCCAGTAGTTTCCATTATGGCCCTCCTACAATTAATAAACTGAAATGAATGATCAAAGAAACATAAATTGTGTTAAGAATCCCAACTGGCAAGGAGGCAAACCAGTTGGCTATTTACAAGCATGGTTGACAAACTAAATTTGAACTAATCAGAAACCAGGACAAATACAGTCTCAGCTAGTGGCCACAGCGGGACTCGAACCCGGCACCACTGGATTGCGAGACTGATGCTATGACCACTCAACCATGCTGCCTCCTTTAAAAATGTTCTCAAATAGTATGTGTCAGTTCTTATTAGTTTTTAGAACTCGGTCAACAAGTTCTATAGAACTGATGTGTACCATTTGAGGGTGGGTTTGACTTAATGAAAAGCACCCTTAGAAACCATGGGGAATGGTTGCCCAATTCTCCCGAGCCAAGGGGTCATGTATTAAGTGATTATGGGTGTGCCCTTCACTCCTTAAGACTATCAGTGCTCCTTATTATGGGTATTTTAAGCTAAAGCTAGAAGTCGAAACAGACATTGAGATCCTGAGGACTGAACTGTAGACCTCAAGCTCTAAAGGCCACTAAGGGAGGGCTAAGGAAATTGCAGTAAACTTTTAAAAAATGGTTATAGACCTCCTTTCACTTAGTAAGAAATTCATGACTCTGATTAAGTCAACAAGGAAACAGCTTTC